TAGTCTCTCCTCTGTATCCCACCCCAGCACACAATTTGGTCTCTCCAGCATATCAGGAGAGACCAAAGAGAACATTTCATGGTAACGAAGCATCGGAAGCCTTACCTCCAGCGAGGCCTGGGCCAGGTCTTGTATGGTCGGCCAGGTCTGCGGGTGGAAAGAAGTAACAGAGAACACCAGAAGGAAGGTCACATTGTATCAATACCGCGATGTAATAAAGAGTTACAATGTATGACAAGAAAAGATGGAGAATTCACAAATACCGAAGATCAATAAACACACAAGAGCAAGAAAATGGCCGACCTAGAACATTATTGGTGTGTTTGTTCCTTCAGTAGCTTCATGTATGGATGGGGAGATCCAGCACACTCATAGAGGAAGAGAGCAGAGAGAAGAGATACCGAGAGGTCTGAGCAGAAGAATCGGAAGACAATGGAGAAAAGGAGCAATGGGGGCATTTCAATGTAACTGAATGCAAAATAATATCCTGTGAAAGAGTTCAATATCGGGGGAGCCTATTACAGATGATTGCAGGAGGAAGGAGGTCCTGATCCCTCTATATAGATCTTTATTATCACTAGAGGGGTCCCCAGCAGGAGGAAGGAGGTCCTGATCCCTCTATATAGATCTATCACTAGAGGGATCCCCAGCAGGAGGAAGGAGGTCCTGATCCCTCTATATAGATCTATCACTAGAGGGATCCCCAGCAGGAGGAAGGAGGTCCTGATCCCTCTATATAGATCTATCACTAGAGGGATCCCCAGCAGGAGGAAGGAGGTCCTGATCCCTCTATATAGATCTATCACTAGAGGGATCCCCAGCAGGAGGAAGGAGGTCCTGATCCCTCTATATAGATCTATCACTAGAGGGATCCCCAGCAGGAGGAAGGAGGTCCTGATCCCTCTATATAGATCTATCACTAGAGGGATCCCCAGCAGGAGGAAGGAGGTCCTGATCCCTCTATATAGATCTATCACTAGAGGGATCCCCAGCAGGAGGAAGGAGGTCCTGATCCCTCTATATAGATCTATCACTAGAGGGATCCCCAGCAGGAGGAAGGAGGTCCTGATCCCTCTATATAGATCTATCACTAGAGGGATCCCCAGCAGGAGGAAGGAGGTCCTGATCCCTCTATATAGATCTATCACTAGAGGGATCCCCAGCAGGAGGAAGGAGGTCCTGATCCCTCTATATAGATCTATCACTAGAGGGATCCCCAGCAGGAGGAAGGAGGTCCTGATCCCTCTATATAGATCTATCACTAGAGGGATCCCCAGCAGGAGGAAGGAGGTCCTGATCCCTCTATATAGATCTATCACTAGAGGGATCCCCAGCAGGAGGAAGGAGGTCCTGATCCCTCTATATAGATCTATCACTAGAGGGATCCCCAGCAGGAGGAAGGAGGTCCTGATCCCTCTATATAGATCTATCACTAGAGGGATCCCCAGCAGGAGGAAGGAGGTCCTGATCCCTCTATATAGATCTATCACTAGAGGGATCCCCAGCAGGAGGAAGGAGGTCCTGATCCCTCTATATAGATCTATCACTAGAGGGATCCCCAGCAGGAGGAAGGAGGTCCTGATCCCTCTATATAGATCTATCACTAGAGGGATCCCCAGCAGGAGGAAGGAGGTCCTGATCCCTCTATATAGATCTATCACTAGAGGGATCCCCAGCAGGAGGAAGGAGGTCCTGATCCCTCTATATAGATCTATCACTAGAGGGATCCCCAGCAGGAGGAAGGAGGTCCTGATCCCTCTATATAGATCTTTATTATCACTAGAGGGGTCCCGGCCCCCCAGCTCACCTTCATCCATTTGTTGTAATAGTCGATGACGGTGGACACCTGAGTCTGCTGCAGCATCACCTCCGACACCCACACTGAGGGGAGGAGACAGAGGAATCAGACTAAGACTTGTCCCGGGATTTGGGAGTTGAATGTCCTCCAGGACGGGTTACAAATATCCCGAATCTCATACAATTGTTGCCCCGACTGCATGTGACACGCGAACTATCAGATCATAAAACAACACGTGACACGCAACATACAGACTTCACTCCACGCTCCGTGTCTGACCTGCATATGATCTGCGATCCGGATCACTTTCTGCAACAGCCTGTAATAGAGTTATGGCAGCCATTAATGCAAGAGTCTGAGAACCCACGCTTCAGTCTCCTATCTGACCTCCGTCCTCCCCTTCAGTCTCCTATCTGACCTCCGCCCTCCCCTTCAGTCTTCTATCTGACCTCCGTCCTTCCCTTCAGTCTTCTATCTGACCTCCGTCCTCCCCTTCAGTCTTCTATCTGACCTCCGTCCTCCCCTTCAGTCTTCTATCTGACCTCCGTCCTACCCTTCAGTCTTCTATCTGACCTCTGTCCTACCCTCCAGTCTTCTATCTGACCTCCGGCCTTTGACCTCTGGCACAGTTGCTCCTCTCACTCTGATGTCACTGCACTCTATGAACTTCTCACAATGTGCATTAGAAGCTAAATCCAGACAGAGCTGGAGGACATACATCATTATTTAACTCTTTCCTCTCCAGTCTGACAGTCCCTGGTCCCGCCCCTTTCCTTCATTGGATTTCTGTTCTTTCAGTTTCAATGCACAATGGACATTGGAAATTCACTAGCAGATCTGCCAGAAGTCCAGGGAGCTGCAAATTTCCTGTTTGGGGTGACAACACAGTGCCTGTGCTGCAATGAAATCCCATGCAGCGTTGTCAGCCCCGCCTGCTGGACAAAAGAACCCCGCCCTCTCCCACAGCTCTCTACATTCAATTCATTCCCAGCAAAAATAAGTTGTCACCTTGACTACCAAGCACCTATATACACTGTGTAGGGAAAAGTCTTTCGGGAGATGTAGTTCTGGGGGACATGTCTACAGCAATAGGAACTGAGCTCCCAGGAGCTGCCCCTGGAAGAATTCTGGTGATGATGTCATAGAGAATAATAATAGTCTTTTCTCTCTACAGGAATGAGGTAAAATGATAATATAGAGCTGTGACATCACCTAGAGGGGGAGGGGAGGTTTGGGGGTAAATCGGGGTCATGCTGATCGTATATTGGGCTGTGGGGCGCTCCTGTTCCCGCTCTCACTTTACACTGATCAGAATTGCTCCGCCTCTTCCTGCGGTACCCACCAGCCTCCGCCACGGCAGGTCTCTCTTATGGCGCTCGTACCAGGACAGGAGGTCCTTCCGGAGTGACTCCGCCTCCAGTGGGGTGAAGGAGTGATACGGAGAGATTGTGTCCGGGGAAACTGCAAAGAGAACACAAAAAAAGGGGAAAGTGGAAGGGCTTGCTGGTTTTCTAATACCCATGATCCTGCTGGGCCATTGTCACTGAGACAGGAAGTGAGGGGAAATCTCCCAATGTGGACACGCGCACTGGTGACAACTTAGGAGAGATTTTCTCTCATTTCCTGTTGTGTCTACAAGACAGGAAGTGAGTAGAAATCTCCCTAATGGGAGAAGAAAATCTGACTCCTTGGATTCACCTCAATGTACATGCAGCTCTGCTACAAACCCCCCGCCCCATGTGGAGACCCAGATGATGGTTCTGTTGGGAATGTTTTGTTGCTCCCCCCCCC